AATAGACATTGGATTTATGACAGATTTCAGAGTAGCAGCCGTGTTAGTCTGTATCCGCAAAAAGAACAGGAGTACTTGTGGCACCTTAGAGACTCACAAATTTATTAGAGCATAAGCTTTCGTGGGCTACAGCCCACTTCTTCGGATGCCCACGAAAGCTTATGCTCTAATAAATTTGTGAGTCTCTAAGGTGCCACAAGTACTCCTGTTCTTTTTGCGGATACAGACTAACACGGCTGCTACTCTGAAATCTGTCATAAATCCAATGTCTATTCCAGGGTTAGGCAACCTATGGCATGCGTGCTGAAGGCAGCACGCGAGCTGATTTTCAGTGGCACTCACACTGCCTGGGTCCTGGCCACCGGTCTGCGGGGCTCTGCATTTTAATTTAATTTTAAAGGAAGTTTCTTAAACATTTTAAAAACCTTATTTACTTTACATACAACAATAGTTTAGTTATATATTATAGACTTATAGAAAGAGATCTTCTAAAAACGTTAAAATGTATGACTGGCACGCGAAATCTTAGTTAGAGTGAATAAATGAAGACTCGGCACACCACTTCTGAAAGGTTGCCGGTTCCTGGTCTATTCAGTCCATGATTTTTAGTGTCTAGCAAAGTTATAAATTTAAGCTTCCAGACTTGTCTTTTGAAAGTGTTGTGCAGGTTTCCTTTGAGGATGAGAATCGATAGGTCAGATATAGATATGTCTGTTATACCTTGTATTTAGCTGAGATGCTCCGAGTATGTCTACACTGCATTAAAAACCCACTGCTGGTCTGTGCCAGCTGACTCAGGTCTCAGGCTCAGGCTAAGGAGCTATTTAATTGCAGTGTAGATGTTTGGGCTTTGGCTGGAGCCTGAGCTCTAGGACCGTGTGAGATGGAAGGGTCCCAGAGCTCGGGCTGCAGCCCAAGCTTGAAAATCTTCATTGCAGTTAAACAGCCCCTACACCCAAGCCTCATGAGTCCAAGTCGGCTGGCATGGGTCAGCCGTGAGTGTCTAATTGCAGAGTAGACATACCCTCTGAGTATCAGAGAGGTAGCTGTGTTAGTCTGAATCTGTAAAAAGCAACAGAGGGTCCTGTGGCACCTTTAAAACTAACAGCAGCAGGTTGAGTCTGATGAAGTGGGCATTCACCCACAAAAGCTTATGCTCCAATACTTCTGTTAGTCTTAAAGGTGCCACAGGACCCTCTGTTCCCCTGAGTTTCTTTTCCAGACCTGAAGAAGAGCTCTGTGTAAGCTCAAAAGTTTTGTCTCACCAACAGAAGCTAGTCCAATAAAAGATATTACCTCATCCACTTTGTCTCTCTAAAAACAATTAAATCTGCCCAGAAGAGACAGTCAGTTCTCTGTGCTGCTCTTTTGTCTAGATGATGGCTTTCATTTTTGGTTGGACTGCTAGGTTCTTCTTCTTCTCTGAATATTTGGGGAATGCGTACATTGCACCCTAAAATGTTTGATCTCTGCAGACAAAAATTGACATGATTATGTTCTTTAAATAAAACTATAGACAGTAACACTTTGTAGGAGAAAAGTTATTAGTTGAAGTCTCCAAGTTAATTATTCATTTGTGCCTGTGTGGTCGATCCACTCTATTGCTTTGTGTGGCTGAATGTTGCATTCTTTATATTTAAGTTGGAGTTAAAATATTGTCATTTTTGGACAGTAACAAGCACACTTACAAGCATAGTTAATATGTAGGTGCTCAAGAGAAATATTTCCATATCTAGCATATATGTGAATATATAATATATAATATATATATAATATATAATATTATATATATATTATATATAAATATTTCCATATCTAGCATATATGTGAATATATAATACTCTAATAAGATGAAATTTGTTTCTGGTAGGTGTAGTTGCTTTGGCTTGCAATGGCTAATAATTTCCCCCCCTTTTTGGATTTTCTTCTTTGTTTTTCTCTCTAGCTGTAGATGGTGAGATGAGGCCAATGAGTTCCTTCTCCCCAAAGTGTTGGTCCTATCCTCTTCCATAATACTATCACCTGTATCGTTAGGTTACTCACTACAGGTGGGTCGAATACATAGCCTCTGCTAAGGCTGCAGATAATACTGCGTCAGCAGTCATCTTGGGCTGCAGTTAATACTGCTTCAACAATCACTTTGTAAGCAGCACTTAGACAATGGTCTTTTGAAATCCAAAGATATCATGGTCACAGAGACCAAGTGGTGATGGCTTATAAAGAAAATGGGTGCTCCAGAAAAGAAAATATAATTTTTTAATCTATCTCTACCTCACCATAGAGAAATGAACCAGAACCAAAATGTACCCAGACACAACAAAGATTACCCTAAATAATGAAAAAGGGATCTTAGCCCAGAATAATTTCATGGGCTACTAGTCAGCTCTGAACTAAAGCTTTTATTGCTAGTTTCCTTTCTCTTGAGGTTTCTGCATTTTTTCCTGTTCCTGTATCCTGGGGCTTGGCTGACATAGCTGTTCCAGTCATTAGCAACTTGACCGCCACCATTAGCTTTTACACGGGAAGATGTATTTGCCTATTTGCCATTTTTCCTTATTTTCTGAGAAGGAGAAAAGAAGAACACTGCAGTGACTAATGGGAGAAAAAAAACCTGTCCGTATTGCACACTTCATATCACACGCACACCACACAAAACAAAATAAAAACACAGGAAAGAACAACATTCCAATGGGACAACATAAAAAAGACAGACTGTTAAAGAGCAAAACCATCCTGTCATGTACATCAACAATTTGCCTGGTCTCTCTGGTTTTGTAAACTTGGAACCAGTGTTGCTCCCAAACCTAACCTTTTACTTGGCAGTACAGTGCACTTCATTTCAAAACCAGGCATACAGATTTATGTGTGCAGCTATCTGAGACACCAAAATAGTCAAATTAACAACAAAGGGTTGCTCTATAAGTAGACAATCTTCCAGTTCGAGTCATGTCCTGACTGTCTGTTATAGATCAGGGGAATCAGTGACAGGATTTGTCTGTGGTTATTTTCATTTGGCTTTTGTTGTCCTAGCAAAATTGGTTGCGAATAGTAATAGCACCTAAAAGGGCTTCGGCATATCTCTTAAGTATGATAATTTAACCTGCTTGAATAAAAAGATTGGATGGCCTGCTTTCACCAGTTTAATGGTAGTTTTTACATGTTGTACTTTTACGGCTGTGAATTACTGATAGTGAACCTGTTTAAAGATTTTGTACAATGTAATATAGAAGTGCTTCAGCTTCTTGGTCTAACATTCTACCTGTGCTGTCTACAAAGGAGCCAAGATGAAAGAGGAAAATTGCAAGCCTCTAAGAAAAATGGCTAGTAAGTAGGGGAGAAGTTATGTTGGTGTCTATTATAAAAATGCCATTTTCACATTTATTTTAAAACAGAGTTGGACAGTCTTTTCTGTAGGCGTACATACAGTATGTTTCACTAGGTACTGCCATAGCTACTCATGAATGCAAATATTCCTCTATGCATGGTTATATATTACTTTATTAATTGGCAGGATCAGCTATTGCAGAGCATGATCATACACTGATAAACAAATGCTACTAGATGCATTTTTTTTTCCTGTTCAGTGCTTCAGAGAAGATGATTTTTGTCAACTTCCCTGTTGGCTTGGGTCAGCCTGCTAAGAGAATGCTAGTTCTATGATTATTGCTAGCTTTATTTTGAACATTAGCAAAGGACAAGGATTCAGTTTTTCTCTTTTTAATAAAAACAACAAGGAGTCTGGAAGAAGTGAGGTTTTTACCCACGAAAGCTTATGCCCAAATAAATCTGTTAGTCTTTAAGGTGCCACCAGACTCCTTGTTTTTTTTGTAGATACAGACTAACCTGGGTACCCCCTGATCTCTTTTTAATGAATGCCCAGTACCAGAATTTAGAAAAACATATTGAACCTAAAAGTATTTGCGGGTTCACTAGAATGAGTCTTAGTAAGTAATTTGGGTTTTCTAGGTGCTGTCATATTACATATAAAATAACAAATAGCAGGTCAAAATAATAATATATAGTACCTGTATTGCACTTTCTGTTTAAAGTATTTTGCAGACATCAACATTTACCAAACCTTGACAACAACATAGTATGGGAAGTAGAATTATCTTAATTTAACAGATAAGGAAAATGAGGCAGAGAAGTGAAATGACTTTCTTGAGGCCACAGAGGAAGTCAGTTATTGATGAGTTTGCAGTTGTGAGGTTTAGAAGCAGATCTGCTCAGATTAGAGATTAATAAGCAATAACATTGAAAATCTCAGTTCTGAGTACCAGAGCTGCTAAAATCATGTTGGAATTGAAGTAAAAGAAAATGCAACATATTCATGAGATGCGTATTTAAGGGCCAATATTTCATGGCCTGGGAGAACTAGAAGTTAATACTTTTACCCACTAGAAAGCTGAAATTTCAAGTGTGTGAACATTCCTCTTTTCACAAACAGAAAAAGTGGCTATTGATATACCTGTTTTGCCAATAAGAATTGTATGTATCCATGAGTTCCAGTCTCTCCTGGATCCCTCACAGTTGTTAACTTTGATTAAAAGCACTTAAAAACACTTTTGAGTTGTAAAGGAAAAGTAATTTCAGATTGTGCTTTGATCACACTTTTAATTCACAGTGGCAAAAATAGACAGCTACAAGTATGTGAGAAAAATGTTCCTTATGCTTCTAGGTAGTGTGACCAGATAGCAACTGCAAAAAAACGGGATGGGATGGGGGGTAATAGGCGCCTATATAAGAAAAAGCCCCTCCCTCCCTCTGCTATTTCCCTATTTGCACCACTTGTACCCTATTGCCCTGCTATAGTTAAAAAAAAAATACATCAAATTTCTCTCCTTTCTCCACAAAAACCTTTTCAATTATATAAAACTTACATTTTTCATTATTTGATAGATATAGGAGCGGATATTAATGCCAGGAATTGTGTGTTAGAATATTTGAGGACTTGATTATATTATATTTTTAAATTAGGAGTTTGGATCTTAAATCCTTATGTTTTATTTTTATTGGTAAGAGTAGAAAATAGATAAATCTAACAAATACACTGTGTGATGGCTTCCTCCCTTCGAGATGTCACCTGATGTGACACAGATAATGAGATCAGCTCTGGGAAGTCTCCACTTAAGGGACTTGCCCCAGCACTCAGGTGTCCACCTCCCTTGGAGTGCAGACCCAAAAGTATATTATGAAATCTGCCTCCTCCCTCAGTTGGAGGAAGGTATGCACAGCCTCTTACCCCTCCCCCCCAATTGTGAATTGCACAAATGGGATTATATTATAAACAAGAAATACATTTATTAATTACAAAAGGTGAATTTTAAGTGGTTAAAACAGAGGTGGGTAAACTACAGCCCGCGGGCCACATCCGGCCCGCAGGACCGTCCTGCCCGGCCCCTGAGCTCCTGGCCAGGGAGGCTAGCCCCCGACCCCATCCCCGCTGTTTCCCCTCCCCCACAGCCTCAGCTCGCCACACTGCCGGCGCAATGCTCTGGGCGGCGGGGCTGTGAGCTCTGTGTTGCACAGTGGCGTGGCTGGCTCCAGCCAGGCAGTGCAGCTGCCTGTCCTGGTGCTCTGGGAGGCGCAACTGTAGCACCGCCAGCCGCTGGTGCTCCAGGCAGCACGGTAAGCGGGCAGGGAGCAGGGGGGTTGGATAGTAGGCAGGGGAGTTTGGGGCAGTGGTCGGGGTGTGGATAGGGGTCAGGGTGGTCAGAGGACAGGGAACAGGGGGGTTGAATGGGGGCAGGAGTCCCCAGGGGGCAGTCAGGAAGGAGAAGGGGGGTTGGATGAGGCGGCAGGGGGCAGTCAGGGGCGGGAGGTCCGGGGGCGGTCAGGGGACAGGGAGCAGGGGGGCATGGATGGGGCAGAGGTCCCGAGGGGGCCATCAGGGGACAGGGAATGGGGGGGGTTGGATGGGGGCAGGAGTCCTGGGGGGGACTGTGGGGGGGCAAGAAGCAGGGGGGGTTGGATAGGGGGTGGGGCTGGGCCACGCCTGACTGTTTGGGGAGGCACAGCCTCCCCTTACCGGCCCTCCATACAATTTTGGAAACCTGATGTGGCCCTCAGGCCAAAAAGTTTGCCCGCCCCGGGTTAAAATATAGCAAACAGAACAAAACAGATTACTAAGCAAATAAAACAAAACACACAAATTAAGCTTGTTTCACTAAAGAAATTGGTTACAAATAGTATTTTTTTTCACTCTAGATATTGTTGCAGGCAGATTACAGAAAGTCTTGAAAGGCAGCTGCACTGGTCTCCAGCTTGAGACTCACAAGCTAGACGCCCTTCCAGCTTGGGCTCAACCCTTCTCTCCCCAGTTCAGTTCTTGCTTCCAGGTGTTTTTCAGTGTCTCATAGGCCTGGTCCACACTAACCCCCCATTTCGAACTAAGGTACACAAATTCAGCTACGTTAATAATGTAGCTGAATTCGAAGTACCTTAGTTCGAACTTATCGCGGATCCAAACACGGCAGGCAGGCTCCCCCGTCGATGCCGCGTACTCCTCTCGCCGAGCTGGAGTACCGGCGTCGACGGCGAGCACTTCCGGGATCGATCCCAGAAGATAGATTGCTTACCGCTGGACCCAGAGGTAAGTGTAGACCTACCCTTTGTGTGGGAGGGAGAGGAGTACCTCGGTGATGTCACTCCCCTGCCTTATGTAGCTCTTGTGCAAGGCAGGAACCCTTTTCTTCTAGTGGAAAAACTGGCATTCCAAAAGGGGAGGAAGGGTATCCAGAACCAGGTGACTCAGACCCATGTCTCTGCAAGACTGTGGCCGCCACTGGAGCATCCACAGGAAGACTAAGTTCACTTACAGTCAATTGTCTCTGGTAATGGGCCATTAGCACTATCTTGCTTTCTCATTGTGGTACCTGAAAGGCTAGTTGGGCGTAATGCTGAAAGGATTCCATTTGAAATACAGATACAGAGTCAATATTCCTAACTTCAGATGCAGAAATGATACAGGCATACAAATTGTATAATTGCATTCAATAAATCATAACCTTTCCAGTGATATCTTACATGAGCCATCTTGCATAAAGTATATCTCAGTTATGTCATATCCATATCATAAGCATATTTCCATAAAGAATATGGAGTGTAATGTCACACCCTGTGTTCACTAGAATTGCTGTCCCGTGGATTCCACCTTTCACCTTTTCTCATTTTTTTACTTGGGATAAATAAAGCTCTCTATCACTTATTGTTCATTCTCTAATTGACTGATTAGATCCCCTGCAATAGCCTGTAGCTTAAGGGACTAATAAAACATCGGAAACTTTTTAGGGTTGGCCTGTCTTGGCCTGTTCTAGTGATATACTAAAGGCTGCATGGAAGGTCACATGCCTCTTAGAACATGATTAAAGTGTATTGAAAAAGATGTCTCAAGCAAGAAGCCAATGTAGGATCAGTGTTTTCCACCATTGGAAGTGCTTTGATTTACAGCAGCAGCAGGTCCTTTTCCTTTTTCTTTTTCTGTTCCACTTTTTAAACTATTTCCTCTGGTCTGTTTTGGCTAGATAGAAAGATCCATGAAGGTTTTGTAAAACCGAATCTCTCCTTTTCTGCATAGTTTAATTGATAATGTTAACCAGAATTTATCTTTCAGTTCATTGATCAGCCGAGAAAAAACTCTAATTTGATAAGAACCATTCCACAGTATGCCAGCTTACAAAAACCTCGAACTAGGCAGGAAATGTAGTATAACATTTAATGTTGGCCCTTTTTAAGAAAATGAGCAAAATATTTTTCTTTTAAGTGAGCAAAACTATTTCATGACCACCATTAAAGCCCTCCTTCATGCCCGTTTCCCCGCCATTAGTTATTCCTGAAGGAATTCTGTGCCAAAAAATTAAAAATTCTGTACACAATATTTGAAAATTCTGCATTTTTATTTGTCAAAATAACAACATAATCATGCCAGTTACAATTATTTAGGTTTAATTAAGTATTTTGAAATATTTTAACAAATATGTTATATCCCATTTATGAAAAAGAAATAACTAGAAAATAAATGTGGAAAACAACCTTGCATTGGTAATAAGCAGGAATTTATTTTTCCCATCTCCAATTTCTATGATTCCCTGAACGTGCCAGGCGTGGGTAGAAAAGCTGAAGGAAAATTTTCTTAACTACAACTTCTGTTTTTGCAGATCTGTTGTACAAACCAGTATTCTGTGTTGTACCAGTCTAGTTCCTTGTCAGTGTGGCAGACATTCATAATCAGAACATAAGTTTTTTTCGTGCCACAAATTCACTAATTGTGACCCTCCCATTCTTCTCCTCAGCTTTTTGTTCTTCCTTCATCAGTGGACACATTCCTGCCGGTCTTTGTGCTACCATTTAATTTGCACAGCAAGTTCTACAACACTGAACAGATGACTGATCTCAGCCAGGACAAGAAAACCATAAAATGCACCAAGTGCTCCGCTTCATTTCAACCAAGCGATGTTGTATTTTTTTGCCCCAATTGCAACAAGGGTCCAGTGTGCTCCGGAGGTACTCTGCTAGAGACATCTGAGTTTTTAAGTTCCCATGATGACACCTTGCCTCACCAGTCAGAGGAACAAATCTCTTTTGTAACAGAGGTGAGCAGATTGGGTTTAGAGATACCATTCCTTTCCATCCAGGTTTTATTTCATAATTACTAGTGCTCATTTCTGCTTAGAACAATAAGGACTATATTTCCAGTGTGCCTTCATAAATGTGTATAGTAGAACGGCCCAGATTCTAACTACATTCTAAAACATCTTCCCTATTCACAATGTTTTTGAAGCCTTGTACCTAATAATAATAATTCCTAGCTCTTATATACTGCATGTAACAATCTATAATGTTTTTTTTAAAATTCCTGGTTCTCTAGAAATTGTGAATACCATGAGAAGAGTATGATATAACACATTATGCTTGACCATACCCATATAGGACCAATTATATGGAAGAAGCTGTTTCACTATTTAAAAAAATCTAATAATTTATTAGAAAATTTGCAGAACAAATTAACTTAATATATTAAAACATGTAAATTCCTGATTTTTTTTCTTTTGAAGAAAATGTGGTGTTAATATCTTACCTCAAGAGACACGAAAAGGTTACATATTAAATGGATTTAATGGGATTAATTAGTTAATGCTTTGAAACTGCAAAGTGGTTTATAAGTGCTAAGTTATTCATGTACTATGATGTACATTTAACTCAGAGTGAAGATTATACCATATGAATATAAAATTATATCATTTTTAACCTAAGTTGTAAACAAATATTGAGTAAACCCTTGTTCAGAGGACTTTTTTTTTCTCCCTAAGGCCTTGGCTACACTGTCGCTGTACAGCGCTGCAACTTGCTGCGCTCAGGGGTGTGAAAACGCCCCCCCCCCGACGCGCAGCGAGTGCAGCGCTGTAAAGCACCAGTGTAATCAGCGCCTGCAGCGCTGCATGCTCGTTCGCAGCGCTGCAAGCTATGCCCCTCGGAGAGGTGGAGTACTTACAGCGCTGCGAGAGAGCTCTTGCAGCGCTGGCGGCGCGACTACACTCGTGCTTCACAGTGCTGCCACGGCAGCACTGTGAATCCCCAAGTGTAGCCAAGGCCTAAGAGACAGGCCAAGTAGTACTCTGAGACAAATTACATTGTAGCCCTAAGAAATGTGTCGGTCAGACTATACAGTGCAATTAACTGTAAATGAGGTGCTGGTAATGCATGTAATAAATAATCTAGAAAACTCTATATGTAGGCCCCCTTGACCCAATTCAGTAAAGCATATGCTGAAGTTCTTTGCTAAAGGATGGTTTGTTGAATCACGTCCTGAACAAGGATGGATTTAGGCACATGCTTAATAGCTTTTGCTGAAGCAAGGCTTTAAATAGAAGTGGTCTAATTTGCAGAAGAACTGAGTACTCACCAATTCCCTTGAAGTCAATAGAACTGTTGTGTTCAGCACATTTGAAGATCAGGCTTTTGATTTAGGAATCTTTAGGCATCCAGGTTTGAATATGTTAGTTTATTTTCCCCTCTAATCTCTTTCAATTATAGTAATCTTAAATGTTTTAATAGTACATAATAATAATTGTATGCTATATAATAGTAGGTAAAAAATTCAGACAAAAGTATGGTTTTTAAATTGACTATCTGTCTTTAATTTCTCTTTAGGCCATTCTTATTGATGTACAGAGTTTCTTTCTTTAAGTATTGTTCCTGCAGTAGTTAATGCTTTGATTGCGGACATATTTATCTCAGAACATAATCTCTCTAATATTGAAGGTTCTAAAATTGTACAATTGGAAGCTTTAAAAGCTTTTATTGGAGGAGTTTGTATTAAATATATATCTGAAAAGAATAAAATGAAAAAAGCACTTAAAACTGAATGCCAGAAGAAAATCCATCATTTGGGATATATTAACATAAATGGGTCCCCTTTAAAGAAGCACCTCTAAATTTCTGGACGCAAATTCAATATCCTCTTAAATCAGTCATATCTGAATATACCATCAGTGACTTGTTTTCCAGCATTTCTGTAAGTGGGGGGACAAAACAGGAAATGTGTTTAGCAAAGAAAACTAAAATACATTCAGCCTCAGTTATTCCTTCACTACGTAAATAGTGTAGAGTATCCGATAATATTGTAGAATAATCTCTGTTAGTAATAGCAATTGTATATATGGTAAACCTATAGCTAACTATTTGGCCACTGGTGTATAGGAAATATCCAATGTTAGACCTGTCAGGAGATATGTGGTGCTTGAAAATAAATGAGGAAATTGCATTTGAATGGCGATCATCTTCTAAAATATAAGAAACCCTTTCTATTATTTAATTCAGTGTCAGATTCACATAACATTACTTTATTTCAAACAATTTTGTAACATATCTCATCAATTGAAAGCATATTTTTCTTGGTATCAGGCATAATTATTGCAGATAATTATTTATTTTATTTATGACAAGCGTTTATATAGTATCCATCACTTTAGTATGTGAGTAAAATGAATTCCTTCTAGAGTTGTTACCACTTGAAGCTGTTTCTGTAGGTCAGTCTGTGACCAGGAAACTCAAGGGCACTTGTTGGACCATTCATACTAAGGCCGCATTTATCCCTATTTCACTCGTATTCAGTCAGCAGCTCTACGTGAAGGATTTTTGTGTCCCCAACCGGGGCTATCCTTAGGCATACACAGCATACACGGATGCATAGGGCACCTGAAAATTTGGGACACCTGTGGGTCTTAGTGTCGACCCACCCGCCTCTTCCTATCCCTGTTCTGACCCTTCCTTCAGGCTCCCACCACAGCTGGCTGCTGCTGCAGCCTGGTGAGTCTTCCTCCAGAGGGGATCTAGTAACTTAAAAGTGAAAAAGCCTGCAGCCTGCCAGATCTATTAGCACAACATTGAAACTGTTAAAGAGCCATTCAAGTGGTAATGAAGCCATTTAACAGGCATTTGCCAACCCCCAGGTATATACTGTCAGTTTCTGAATTTACTGACAAAAACAGTTGTACATTACTGTCATATTTACTCAGAACATGTTAGTCTACAGGACCTTAGTTTAAAATTTGCTTTAAAATATTTCATTAGTGTGTTGCTGAAGATTATAAAATCACATCTCTAAAAAATCCTTCCATAGATTTTTAAATGCACATAGGGTGACCAGACGTCCCGATTTTATCGGGACTGTCCCGATATTTCCTTGTTTGTCCCGCGTCCCGACCGACGTGCGGTCGGGACACAGGACAAACAAGGAAATGCTCCAGAGCCCGGAAGTGCTCTCGCCCCCCCCACCCCGCCCCCTCCTCCCCCGATTGGCTCCCTCCCCGAATCCCCGCCTCTTCCCCAGGCTCACTATTCCTCCTCCCTCCGCAAGCGCTGGAGGGAGGCCCAGGAGACGCAGGGGAAGCGCGGGGCCAGGGTGAGTGAGAGTCCGGCCTGGCCCCGAGTGCAGGCAGGACTCAGTTGGGTGGTAGGGAGAGGAGGGGGGCGGCCCGCAGGGCCAGGCGGCGGCTGTTCTCCCGCCCTGGGCAGCGGGACTCGGG